AGATGGCTGGGAGTTGCCATATGCTGGAAATTAACAAGATGGAATCATTCACACTTCATAGGTTTGAATACATTTGAAATCAGAGAACAATGAGAAAATCAGTTTGGGAGTTACTCACGCTTAAGGTATGTAAGGGCAAGAGTGAAGAGAGCATTGAAGAGTATGGTGAACCCAACCATAGCACCAAAGCCAATCCAGTACCACTTTGCTTCTGTGAATACTCCACGGGACTTGAGGGTTTGCACACCTAGGGTCTCGTTGGAGGCAGTGCTATTCAATATTTTGTCCCAGCTGTGACCCAACATCTCATTCACTGAAATGGCATTTTGTGCATACATCATTGGGGAGATCCAGTAGCCCCAGATCCACCATTTCTTAATTTTATCTGAAAGACGAAATACAGAGAAGCATTGATTTAAGAAGAAGCTACATTGCAAAGAATTAGAAAGAGAGAGAAAAGATGAGTTCTAACCTTTACTAGAATAAATCCTCCCAACACCATGACAACCAGCAACATGAACGATGCGAAGACGTTAGCAACAATCATGTTCCTCGATACCCCACTAATAAACCGGAAGAGTGCCGCTGCCATCTGATTGACCGCTAACAGAAGCAGATACTGCTTGAAGAACCTGGGGGCAACCATTACTGTTAGAACATTCATAGCACTTTTTTTTTTGAAGGAAACATTCATAGCACATTACCAGAGTAATAAGAATGGATAAGGATAAACATTTAAACAATTGGAAAAATCTCACCTGCCGACATTTGGTCGAACCCAATGACATAGTATGTCAAGAATACATAACCGCCAACCTCGATAAATGTGATGGGTACCTTGACGATCCATGAGGGTAGAGTGTAGGACCATGCCGGAAAGAAAAGGAGATCCTCTGCTTGAAGAATATAGGCAGCTTGAAGACAGTTAGCGACAGCTCAGACATGCCATTGAACATGATCATAAGCACACCAAAGAAGACTGCACCCATGTAGATACCCCCGTCATTCACCGTGTCATGCTTCATCTTCGTACGGAAGAAGAGAGTCATTGCAATGATCGACATCAGTATCAGCTGTAATGCCAGAGCACCAAAGAGTCAGTCATGTTTCAGTTATTTTTTCTCTACATGCCAATCGATCATACTGTTTGGTCTTGTGAGTTACCTGGAAGGTTCTGAAGATGTAGACAAAAGAGTTCCTCTTCATGAGAAGGATCTCCCGTCTATGTTTGCTTTGAGCAGCTCCTTGCCACTCACACCATACCTTGTGGTGGTTAGTGCGGCTGGGTGGCTTTTGCTCTTGTCGAACGGAACAGCAAGCTCATTTGCTATAGCTCTCCCTGTGTGGAATGACTTAAATGCAGTCGCAAATTCCTTCACGGACACAAACCTGTAGGGCTCATCAGGTCGCACCCAGTACTGTTTCTGATCTTTTTCGAAGTCACCTGCCCAGCATTTCAAAAGAGATAAGATAACAAGAACTTTCTGCACTTTCTGCACTTATGTATACTGAAATATGGTGGCACAGTACATACTTCTTGCAGGAAGTCAGCAACACCCTTTCTCTCTCAGGGCATCTGAAACCACTGACTCGAAAAACTCAAGCACTTCTTCTCGGGGACCCTGGTAGACAACCTGACCATCTGAGAGGAGTATGATGTCATCGAACAAGTTATAAGTCTCTGGTGCCGCTGCAGTAGGGAGATAACAGCTGTGCCACCGAGGATGTGAATGGACTGCCTGAGTGAATTCACAATTTGGAATGTAGTGGAGCTATCAAGCCCAGTTGAGATCTCATCCATGAAAAGCGCCCTGGCTGGCCCCACCAGCATCTCACCTGCAGGAACATCCAAATGATATAATTCAGAAAGAACTTCAGCAAAACCAATGTTGTTGACCTAATATGGTTAAGAAAGACAGTTTTACCAGTTGTGACACGCCTGCTTGTCCACCAGATATGCCCCTGAGCATCTCATCCCCTACCATTGTGTCTGCACATATCTCTAGTCCTAATATCTGCAGCAAGTGGAGTGTACATAGTTTAAGACATATTTGAGTAAGTCAATCTATAATTGCTCGATTTGAGGCTAAAAGTTGCAATGTATACCTTCAGAATATAGTCAGTGACCACATTGGCATCTTGCCCACCCATTGCATACGCCTAATTAAATTAAGCAGGAAAACCATACTCAGTTTTGATTATGATTGGCCAGTTATTCATGGAAACATAATCTACGATATAAAAAAATCTACTGGATTTAGTCAGGATCGCATGCCTTCATGAATGCATCAATATCAGCATCAGGCTTGATATTGGCCGCCTTCTCTCGCCTCGACAGCTCAGTCAGCATGTCTAACAACATAAAGGAAAGAAGCAAGACCCGATAAGCATATCAATGAAGTGTAAATCCTACATGGTAGGCAAGCAGAACAAAAGCATATGCATGTATCGCATGACTCATTGCTCGGAACTGTACCAAAACCGGAGCCAACACCCTGGCAGCGTGCAGAGAATGCAAGCGTCTCCCTCACAGTCATCTCTCCTATGTGGAGGTCATGCTGGCTGATGTACGCGGCTGTCCTCTCTGGAACAAACTCTGTCATCTCGTTACCATTATAGGTCACTTTACCTGAAAACTGCACGGTGTTTCACTATAACATTAGGCACTGTACATTTCATTAGAGTAGTTAGTACAAAGCATACAACAGTTGCCAGTGAAAGATGCCCTGTTTCTTGAATGCCAGTTTTGTGCAGAAGTATAAGGATACATTTTGTCTGTTTTTTGCGAGGCGTAATTATTGCAAAGAAGTATAAGGATGCATTTTGTACTACCTTGAGTTCTTTGTCAAGCCTTCCGGCCAAGGCGAGCAACAAACTGGTCTTGCCTGATCCAGGCGGACCTAACAGAAGTGTCAACCTGCATAAACGTAAAGAACGTGAGGTTGACTAGTGGAAGAAGCGAAGAAATCGAAGACTTGTAGTCCCAGACTATGAAACTCTCTCTTTTTTCTCTTCTTTTTCTTATTTTTTGTGAGGAGACGATTACTAATCCAGTCACCAACACAAGCCAAACCAACAGGAATATTGAGTTACTCAGTTAAAAAACAAAAAACAGCTCATCGACTCTGTAGATGGAAAATAGTTTGACTTTCTTGAGGACAAAAAAAAACCCCAATAAAACAGCCATTGTTTTACTCGTCAACTACCTGCGAGGCTTGATGATTCCGCTGACGTCGTGGAGAATGGGCATGATCCGCTTCCTACTGGGCAGTATGTGCAGCGCGTTCGCCGCTTCCTGCGTCGAACAAAGAGGCGCACCGACCAAAGTTCAAAATTGATCGTCTTTCGCTATCGGATAGGCAGGAACTAACGGGTGCACTGGCTGGCTTACGTACCTCGACCGTGTTGACGACGGAGTTGAGGACGGTGGGGAGGCCGCTGCTGCCGACGCGCACCTCCGCCTCGGCCTCAAGGTTCTGGAACCGCACCTCGATCGTGGGCATGTCGATCCCGACCCTGCAGCAATCAAACAGCGCGCGCGCGGAAATCGTCAAACACCCGGCGAGCGATACGAATTCGAGTGCAACCGCGCGCGGCTCGTCGCAGAGCGGGCGAGGGGTTACCTGTCGATGCGGTCCTTGAGCTTGAGCAGGAATCGCTCGTTGTCCTCGTCGGCGACGCGGACGAGGCGCTCCAGCAGCGCCCGCTTCTCGTGCGGGCCGAGGCTGAGCACGTCGACGTCCACGAGCCCCTTCCCGCCGGCCGCCTCGGCGCCGTCTAGCGGGACCATGGCGCGGCGGACGCGGTCGTAGGTGGGCAGCTTCTCCAGCGCGGCCCAGCGGAGCGCCTCCTCGTCGTCCTCCTCCCTGGACGAGCGCGAGAACACGTCGTCGCCGCGCCGCCACATGGAGCCGCCGCCCCCGCCGCAAACTCGCCACCTTCTGAATGTCCCCGCCGCGTCCATCTCGCTATCCTCCAACTCCTCCCCCTGCCGCCGCCGCCTCCTGCTAGTGCCCCCCACCAATCCGCACCCCGCACCGCCGCCGGGCTACCAATGAGATTCCGGTGTGTTTTTGGGTGGGGTGAGTGCGTACTATGGGAGAGCGTTCAGGCGAGCTGCCACCGGGTTACCAATCCGCACCACAACGATGGGAGAGCGTTCAGGCGGAGGGTGGGGTTTTGTAGGGGTGACGCGCTGGGACGGGACGACGCGGGGGAAGGGGTCGCCTGCCGGTCGTGGTCATGGTCAGAGGTCAGAGCTGCGCCGCCCGGGCGGGGAGGCCGCTCTGCTTGCTCCTGGAGTTGCCAGTTGCTACCAAGTACCAAGACACCCCGCCCCCTGGCTAGACCTGGCGCTGCATTGCTGGACCGGGATGGGCCGCTTGCTGCTTCTAGAAGGTCACCTGTTTTCCAGTGGAAATGGGGAGGAATCGTCAACTAACGGACTGCCGCGCCCGCCCCTTCTCGTTTCTAGAGGGCCAAGCATTTTCCTCCTCTTTTTCCACTAGAGAGGTAGTTGAGTCTCGTTTTGAGCCCGCATGTGCTACAGACAAAAATCCACGTACGGTCTTTAGTTTTATCTTCTCTCTCGCTACGTTGATAGAACTTCAAACACGCGTCCGGCCATTCAGGACAGGAAATCAAAGGCGTGTTTTTAGTTCGCATATACGAGCTTCGTCCGTGTTTAATTTCAACGTGCGCAGTCTGGCGCATAAAACTTCTCCCTTTTGATTTTATGTATCTCAACTCCGTCTCTGGCTAGCAACCTTGGTCTGCGCCAAGCGTCGACATCTTCGAGAAGAAATGACAAGCGTTGAGAGACCTAAGTTAGCCCTGCCCAGTTCGCATAAAATTGAGAATTTAGGTTATCAGAAGACTTTCGTTTTTATTTGGCAATTAGTGTTTAATCATGGACTAATTAGGCTCAAAACGTTCGTCTCTGCAATTTCCAACTAAACTCGCTGTGCAATTGGTTTTTTTTTCACATTTAATGCCCACGCACGTATTGCAAGATTCGATGTGATGGATATTATAAAGACTTTTTGAAGAAAAGTTTTCACTTTAACTAAACAGGGGCTTACTCTTTTTTTTTACCGATTACTACTCGCAGTAGGACCCGCCAAGACGTTAACGTGTGACGAGTTGACGACAGCAACGCCAACTTGCCAAGAGACCTGCAGCCAGCCACTCTTCTCGCTCCCCTTCGAGGCAACGCTGAATTTCCGTGGTGAAAATGGATTGATCGCGCGGAAGGATGCTTCTTCCACCGCCTAACCATCAAAAGTTAAAATCTAGTTGTCGGCCTGCCTGGGACCATTCTTGTTGTTCTAGGCCGTTACCTTAGAATCCCGATGTCCCTCGAACTCACCGATACGAAAGGATCGAGCGAAATGACCTCTCGCGAGGCCACTCTTTGTATTACTCAATGGCCCTAGTCGTCTCTCTTTACAACACTGCGTGGGGCCCTATTTATACACCTCCGTAGCATTTTACATGGACTCAACTGTCCTCGCAATCGCTCTGATCCAGGGGAATATTCCATTTCGCCGAGGGCATTCCGGTCTTTTCCTTCTCCACCTCCCTCGGGCTCCAACCACCCTCGCCGTAGGCTGGTGGTCCCGTCGACCAGCTGTAGCTTCCCGGCCCACGCGCAACCTCCTCCTCAGCGACAAAAGAGCGAAGAGTTCCTGCAACACTAGAGAAAAGTCGCTTCGTGAAAAGCGTTCAACCGACTCCGCGGACTTTGGCCGATGGCCAGGCTTTCGCCCAATACGAAAGCCTCGTCTCAGAGAAACCTGCTCCCGCGCTCCCCGAAAGCATCCGTGACTTCCGAGCGCTCCTTTTCGCCCTTAATGGGACGCGAAAGGCGCCGATCGCCAGACGCTTGTCCCTTTCGCTATCAGGGGTGCGAAAGCCAGGGAGCGTAGCCCAACAGCTCTGTTTCAGTTTTTTCAAGTTTTTTTCACTTTTACTCCACCAACTCTACATGCTGAGCAGCTTACTACTTGAGTTGCTGAGTAGATGAACCTGTTTGTCATGTTACCTAACTCCAGCTCTAAGAATGCAAGGTTTCCGTGAGAAAAGTCTAATATGCCTCAGGTTATCATATTTTTTGTTCAGCGTTTTCAGGGTGTTCGTAGGAGGCATATAGCTGATAATAATAATAAAAAAACGTGTTCAGCGGGTTCCTAGGTATATCTTTTTTTGTTGTTACGCACCCTGAACGTAACTTGTATATCTTTTTTACTCTAATCACAACATTAGATGTTCAAAGAATTGTGCAATTCAATGCGTTCATAGGAAGCATATATAGCAAATCAAGGCGTTGCAGGCAGGGGCGGATGTGCACCCCGGGCTGGGCGGCTGCGGCCCGGGCCGCGGCCTAAATAGTTAAGAACGCCTCTTCAATCTCTTGCCCAAGATAGTTCAGAGTCTAAGCGTTCAGCACTAACCTGGCAATGATTTGTCATACGATTTCTAGCCTTCTACTATTTAGTCTTCCTCTTGCATCTGGTCGCAGAGCACCCACATGTCCAAAGATGGCGAGCGCAGCGCTACGATCCTGCATCAAGCCATTCCAGCGACGACGAGCGTCGAGGGCAGTGGTGTGCGCAATGGCGCCTTGGGGCTGGCAACATGCAGCATGTTCGTTGGCTCAGTAAACGATCGTAAATTTTCAAAGGGAAACGGTGTTTTTCTCTCACATCAAACCAGCCAAAAGAAAAATAATCCACGATACGATCGGCCTCCCGAACAGCCGATGATCACGGGTGGACCACTCGTGTCCCAGCTCCGCGAGGAGAGCAGCGCTATCTCGAGCACGCTGGGAAACACCGGGCGGCCGGGATGGCGAGGCGAAGCCCGCCTCCTGTTCTAGAGAGCGACAAAAGCGGAATAGCCTCCTCGTTATGTTGGAGAGCCAGATGACGAGGCTCTAGAGCATCTCGAAAAATTGGCTAAGATTAGCCAAATTTACTGATTCAAGTATTTTCTAAAATAAATTTGATAAAAAAATATTAGAATACTCTAACCGACTCTATAAAAGATAGCTAGTGAGGTGGGTTATCTAAAAGTAAAGAGCAGATGAGGTGGAACGGAGAGTCATTAAATTTAGAGTGTCATTTACATAGTCTGCTAGAGACATTTTTTCTTTAATAATAGTTATATTTATTTTTAAAAAATAATTTGACTAATCTCTTGTAGATGCCCTTGGAGCCAGTTTTTTCTCAATTTTACAGACGACGAATGGGAAAAGGAGTCTGTTGGAGTTGCTCAAGAAACGACCGAACCAGCCATGGGAGACTCAGCTCGTTTCTTGCTCCTCTCGCCCGGATCTTGCGCCGCCGCCAATTTCCCTCGCGCGCTCTGGTTCCCTCCGTTCGCGCGGGCTCGTGCGCGGCCGTGCAGGCTCGACGCCGCCTCGCCGCACCCGCCTGGCTGCTCACGTCCTCCCGCGCGCCGCCGCTCAACGCCCGCCTCGCACGCGGCCGCTCGCACCCGCCTCACCGGTCCGGCGTCGAGGACTCCGAGGACCCGCCTCACCGCCCGCTTCGCACGCTCTGCTCTGCTCTGCGCTCGCACGCGGCCGCTCGCGACCCGCCGCACCTGCCCGCGCCGGCCCCGCTCGCCCACGCCGCTCTCTGGTTGAGGCCGAGCTCCACGACGACGACGAGAGCGAGCACGCGGCCCTCCATGCCGAGGCTCCTCTGTGCTCGTCGTTCGCGCAGGCCACAGTTGCCACTCCGTTGATGCCGGGGCCGGCCATGACGCTGGCGCGGCTCTCACCACCCGAGCCTCCCCTGACGCCTCGTACGCTCTGCACAAAGGATCCAGAGTGACTCCTGCTTGTCCTGAATTGTTTTTCTAAATTCATTGCCAATATTCTCAGCTGTTTAACTTACTAACAAATATCCACGTGCGACACGCACATATTTATGAAATTTATTTCAAAGCAATGAAAATGTTAATTGAATTGTTGATATATAATAAAGATAGATGGCAAGTACTTAATCGATTTGATCGGGTCATACATGAACAAGGTTTAAATCTTTTTTTCGTTAGGAAGCCTTAGCAGGACACCAAAACGTTAAGAAAGAGTTTGAGGTAGAACATATTAATAAAAAATAATAGATGTGTTTTTCCGACAACGTTTCCCTCAATCGGCCGGTCTTTTTCTTTACATATATAAATTTCTAAACAGCCAAGCCTCTCTTTAACAGATATAAGGACAATCTTCTACTCATTTGTTTCCTGATGAACACATGTTATTCCTCATAAAAAAAAGAACACATGTTGGTAGCTTACTACGTGTATTTGCTTTCCTTAATTCATACGACGAAACTTTGCCAGACAGGCATTAGTTTCCGCTGTTGGCCCGCACATCTCTAACGGTCCAAGTCCAGCTAGAGCCTTCTTTCCTCTTGCTCGACTTGACAAAACGATTGGTCATCATGCGTCTCCTGTTCGCTTGATCGTTTATGTGGCTTATAAGTCGGTTGATGTTGTTTTGTTGTGAGAAAAAAAATATTGTATCATGCCTAATAAGCATGACTGATACGATCAAACGAACAACCATGCATGGGATCCGAGGCAAAAACCTAAACGAAGGCCTAATCCGACACGATTTCTACAATTTTCTACGGTGCTAGGGTTTTATTTGCCTACATATACATACGGGTCCAGGACAATCCCTCCTTTTTCACGTAAAGCAAAAACGGGTAGGATTGTAGACGTACATGGGTGGGATTGTAAGGCTATCTCCAACAACAACACCCAAAATACAAAATCTATTCGTCCTTTGGGTAGCGCTACAGGTAAAAGGTTCAATACTTATTCGGTATCTTCTCCAACAACAAGACCAAAAAGAGAATCCTTTCTGCAAATGGGTTTTCAAGAGAGAGGATGCTCATATTTAGGTTGTGCCTCTCAAGCAACCTAAAATAAGTCTCCCGTATAGGTACTCTGTTGGAGGCTGATTTTGGATCTCTTGCTACCCATTTTAGATTTGGGGTGCCCATATGAGTTTCTTATTGGAGACGGTCTAACACACGTAAAAATAAATCTTGGTTTACATCTTACATGTAAACAGGGCCGTCTCAACGATTTCTAAGGCCCTAAGGCAAGGAAGACACAAAGGGTCTGGCAATATAATGTTTTGATATAACGATCGAAGGATATAGTATTATTAATAAGAGTTAACTTGCAACATATATTTAGTTCATGGAAAAACAACAGTAAAATAAATTAAATGTTTCTTAGGCAACATCTAACATGTTCAAAAAAATAAATTGAATTAGAAATTTAGAAAATTAGAACCCTATCATGGTAATATGAAATGACTTAAATTTAGAACAAATTATCTGCAGCCTATATGGCTCGATGAATTAAATAAATAATTAATGAATCTCTATTCGCTTCAATCTGCTTGATGCCTGATAGCCTGTATGGATTGGATTGCAAGGTCGAATAGCAAATTGAAGTTGTCACTTGTCCGATTCAGATCAAATAAACACAAAAATTGCAGCAACTTCAAGTGCAGGCCGCCATGCCCTAAGCCCTATGGCCTATACCTGATAAACTGAAAGTCTGAAATCACTCACACTTAGAGGGACGGAGGGACTGCAGCGTCTGCACTGATGCGTTAGTTGCCGGGCTGCCGCCGCTGGCCAAATTTGATCAGTCGCAGTCGATCAAGGACGAACGCCGCAGCAGCAGTGCAGCACGCCGTCTCGTCGCCTCATCGATCGCCGCAGCGTCATGAGCCCCCGGCCATCGCACAGCCTGCCCATCACGGACCACGGACGGCTCGTATAGCACCACATGTAAATCGAATGGTTATTACAGAGGAAAAGTAAGATCACGTATGACAAAGAGCTCTTAAAATATTACGTGTAAATCGAACGGTTACTATAGTGTGATGATGAGATATTTTAAAGTACCTTATAACTCCAGGTTCTTTCGTCTTTTTCTATTTTCTAAGGAATAAATAATTAATTGAGAAATATATTATAGAGGGTATTTTAGTAATTGAGGTTGTGGACAAGCCCCTTCCCTTCTGCCTGAGCTCTGGCACCGACGAAGTCCATGCGCACTGAGGGACCAGATGATGCGCACGAACAGACGGATGACGAGCAGCTCGCACGACCAAGGCAAGGCCGGCACCGCGCAGACATGTGACGAGCAGCTCATGCGGCACGGCTCCACCTCGTAGCCGACAGCTCCAGCTCGTGCGGCGGGTAGCTCGCGTGAGGTAGCGAGTGCGGTGGTCGCGGTTGCGTGACGCAGAAAACGGCGGAGACGGATCCTCGGCCGGGCGGCGCCGCCGGCGCGCATGGAACATCCGACAGCGAGGCGGGTGGACGAGCGCGTAGGCGCCAACATCAACCGTCTCGTCAGCAGAGCACGTTGGGGCCTCTCCATCACGACGTCATCGCCACCGGCCGGTGACGGAAGCTTCGCAGTCGTCGTCGCCGAGCACTCCGACACCGGCGCCATGGCTCCTTCCCCTAGGCCTCTACGTCGTTAAGCCAGGTTGAGATCATCAAACCAGCATGTTCTCTACGCCACCAGGGTACGGCGGCCCAAGACGCTCGCGGCCTTCAGCTCCTTCGCCACGGCGCGATGTACGGGGCGGCGAGACTGAGATGGGAGCCAGCCGGCCAAGACATTGGTTCATATTCATACAGAGATGACATGGGAAATCCTTTGGTCCTTGGATGATATTACTAAAATAACTGATTTACCCTTATTTAAAAATAAAATATAAAATGAAAAATAGATCTTGCCCACATATTTTGGTGACGGACCCACCTAATTTGGTACTATCGGTATTTTTAGTTAGGTACCTTCTATTTTTGCAATCAACCGATCCCGTCCCAATGGATGGCTCATGTTTTTTTTTTCAACCATTATAAAATCTCTCTTAACTTATATGTTTCCTCTTACACTAGCAAATTATAGTGCCATAGTGGAACTACCAAAGGTTCATGTATTTATTACTGTCCAGATTAGTCTATAACTTGTTCCGTGCCCTGCATTTCTAATTATTGGTCCTGTTACCTTTCTAATAATTCTAGTATGCCTATTATGCTGCCAGATAATTGGTTATTGGTCAAGCAGTGTGAGCCATTTTTTTTTTCTAGAGAACTGTCCTAAAGTTGCAATTTATATTCAACTCACTACATGGTGCAGTTATCAGAGCACAACAGAGGTTAGTGATTACACTATTCAAATTCCTTCATGATTTGGTAGATACAGAGTTGCTTGAGTTAACTGTAGCGGTGCATGTTCAATTCTAAGTTCAATTCTATCTCCAAATCTCCAAAGAGGTATCAGTGTCTGAAATAGTAAAGAGTGATCTGTCAATTGAAAAACAGGGTAGCATGCACTCACTATGAAACCATTGTTTTTTAAGCGTGAGTGATTTACAATTGAGATATCTGATTCTTCCGCAAGCTGAAATAAATCTCTTGGACTTTGGGAGTTGGGAAATGAATTACACGAATGATTTATGAGAGAATAATATTCTACTTGAATTTACTGTCACAACTAAATCCTATACCCTGTCTATATTCCCAGTCTCAGCATTTAAAGCAACTACAAACTTTGTGATTGTATTTCTCTATTTTTTAACATTATGTTGATGTTTTACTTCTTTTGTTAACAACCTGGTATCCATATAGTGGCATATGGATATTTACTTGTTTGATTAACAGCTGATCCAAGCCCCTTTGCTATAGTTGGATTTTGTAGCTCTTGTATTATTTATTTCAGGGTCCTTCCTGAATTAGCAACTAACCCTATAGGAATAAATGTGGGCCTGTAAATTGCGAGCATTGAAAGAATTTGTTCGTATGAAACCTGATCATATGGAGAGGTGAAATGGATCGGTTCAATGAAAGGTGATAAGACACCTCAGATGCCCCTCTGTATTTGAACAATTATTGCATGGCATATCTAGATAATTTTCCCGAAGTCATTTTTCCATATGCCTTAAACAATGAATCAGTGCATGGCATTGATTTGGATCATGGCAATGCACGGCACAGACCATGGTTCCTCAGCGGTGACAGTATACTGAAGTATTATCATTTACCTTCTTATAAAAAGAAATGACACATCATATTGTAGCTTAGTATAAGGAAACACCACCTAGCAGATATCACAGTCGTACCTTTAGATTTGTTCTTAATAACTTTTGCGGAGCAGCTTTTCTCCTATTCGTCAATCATTTTTGTTTTCAGTAGTTAGCATTGGGAATTAGGAGTATGTTTGGTTACCGGCCATCAGTAGCCATGCCGAAGGTGGGGCGACCTGTGGCGAGCCGCACTTGCGGCGGAAAAATTCGGCACCACACTTTGTGGCAGCTTTTCTACTACGTTTTTGTGTGGCAGCCGCACTTGTGTCAGGAACCAAACAGAAGCCTCAGATTTTATGGTGAGCCACAGGTGTAGCGTGGCGGCATGCAGATGCAGCCAGCAACCAAACGTGCCCTAGAATACCTTTCTTCAGAGAGGCTGCAGTGCTTGTTGATATCACGTTATGATTTGTACTTCCAGCCATTAAGCTAAGCTTAAGTATGTGATGCTTGCTCCCAAAAAAATCAGAGTTACTTGAAATATTACAATTTAGGATCTTTGTATATTTGGGCCTTGAGTTGACGATCTTTTGATGGATGATTCATTTTAGAGAAGAAACAGAACGATATCCTGATGATTTGCACACATAGTCAAATTGTTCTTTAACTGTTACTATTTGCATTATTAATGTATACTATTTGATAACTGAGAGCAACAGTGTAACCCGGTTTTATTCTTTATGTAGGTTCAAGCTGTTAATGCAAACCCTTCATGAGTTCGGATCTCGCATGGCAAATTCAAAATCCCCAACAAGCCAAAGCTGGCCTCCATTGTTACTATACCTGAGAATGAAGGGGGAAGGCATTTAGTCCACACGCGGTGCCGCGACATGCCAGTTGTGACGTGCCAGTTGTTTGTGAAAGGATTCACCTGCCTTGGGCTGGATTCAAGTGCAGGAGGTCTCCAATGTAGTGCTTCGGTTTGTTCAGGTGAACATTTTTCTTGTGCGGATGATACCATTGAGAGTAGGAGTTATAGCTGAGAAAGGGAGAAACCATGATCCAATTGTAGCTGTGTGAGGACAATGTTGCTTACTTAGCAAATTTGATCTATGATATGTATGTTGGCACTGCTATACATGTTTATGCACAGAGAATTGGCTACTTGAATTGTTTGCCTGCATTCTGATATTTGAACTTCAGATAGTTGGACAGTTAAAGATGAGGTTTTCTTATAGTAACAGTTTGATTGTTTGGAAGTTTTGGTATAGTAGTCAGACTCGCAAATTCAATTTGTTGGTTTTGACTTGTGAAGAGTGATAATTTACAACAAACTGATTTTGCGAACATCACACACAAGAATAATCATTGTTGATAATAGTATAACACACATCCAAACTTTGTTATCGTGACATTATTTCAACGGGCATGATCCTAGTCAACCAAAGAAACATGAAAGCAAGACCAGGTTTTAATGATTCTTTCACATGTACTTGCAGTCTTCTAGTACTCATATACACGTATCAAAATAGTACTTATATACTTGAGTCAACAGCAACACACGACGTATTTCCTTGCCTTCTCCAACTGATCCTTTGCAAGGGGCTACAAGCTTACAAAATTTACTAGTAGATGTGTGAAATATTCTTTACAAAATACTACGCCATCATCTTCCCAGAGAAGGAGCACAATATCCTCTAAAAAAAAGCAGCAACAACTTCTAGTATAACTTTAACTAACCAACGGATCCATAGATTTGGCGGACTCTCCCAGTATGCACAATCAAATCTACTTGCACGACCCAACGAATGCAAAATCCCTTGTCCAGGAGGTGATTTTCCCAGCTCCTATCGTCATTATCTCTTCTGGAAGTTGAACTTCATGATGGCAAAGCCAAACAGGGCCGCAAAGAGCACCGCGAATGCCACCACCACGGCTGCCACCCACCCCAGCCAGCTGTGCTTGAAGCCAAAGTAGTCCTCGACGTACTGTGACACCACCACGGTCTTGTTGTTGTCGTCCATCTCCGTCATGACGTCACCGAACTGTGACACAACCAGCCCGTACAGCGTCCACGCCACGGGGCATATCCAGCAGTACCACCTCCACCAGATCGGTGTTTTCTGAAGGTAGCGGGAGGCAAGAACGGGAATGAGCTTTTGGAAACCGTAGAGAAAAGTTGCAGGGGGGCATGAGGAGGTCTTACCGGTCGGGGGATGATGAACCCGGAGAAGAGGTTCCAGATGGCGTAGAATGCCGAGGAGACGATCGAGGCGATGTGGTAGTTAGGTGTCATCCCGACGGCCATCATGCCGTAGAATGTGAAGTAGAGCAGCGTGAAGTACCCAAAGAAGAGGTACCAGAAGAACTTGGCAGCCGTCCACTCGAACCCGATCATGGAGTACACTATGACACCGTATAGAATATCCTGAACCAGTGCGTATGGGAGCTCAATGACAACCTGCAAGGAGACAAATTGATCAGACCAGTGCCCTGCTCTCTAGAACATGGGCCAACAGGCAACAAGCAGCAGAAAAAGCCGCGTGTGAAATTGATTTCCAGGAGGAACATTCACCTGGCCAAACGCATATGGGAAAGCTGAGTACATGCCAGCAGCTCTTTCACGGTAAAAGACTGTCCGCTCCACGGCCACCACTGGCTGAACTGAGGTACAATTCATGACCCCGATGAACAGCACCGCAGCGTACATTGATCCCATGGCATTCATCAAATCTTGTGATGTAGACCTGGATTACGAAGCAAAACGTGAATAAAAAACTGAAGGTCAAGCCACTTGTTTGCCATAAGCAATGGTACAACTGGGCATGACTTACACTTTGCCGCCTAGGTCCCAAAAGATGGTGCCAAGGAGGAGAGCAATGATGGTAGTGAAAAAGAACCTAACGGTATTGTAAGGAGGGTTCCTCCAGTATGACAGGTTCTGTTTCCACAGGCAAGCCACACATTGTGTGATGGAAGACTGTGCGTACTTGCTAGGGAAATGCAGGTCACTTGAACCTGGCGCTGGTTGGCTTAATTCCTTTATCAACGCCTTGTTCCTCCTGAAAAATGTAACAAGCAAGACATCATCTACTGCAGAAATTCCCTGGAGAAGGAAGGTTGGTTAATACTGAAAAGTGCAAAGTGCATTAGTATGTACCAACCGGTACTACCCCGTTTATGGTTATTCTCAAAGATGAAGTGAGTGACTAGTAGGGATTGTAATTTACTTACTGGTAGAGTTCAGATTTCTTGTATATGTCACTGAAATCAGCACCTACAATCTGTTCCTGAGAAGTTGCGGTCACTTCCAGCATCCATGTTGCTGGATTGTAGCCATCTTTAATTTTGCTGACCCCTTGGATCCCCTGGATAATATGAAACCACATGATATTCTCAGTAATTTCGTAGATGGATAGTCAGATTCCTGTAATATCATTTACCTCGAAATACTTGATAAGATCTGAAGAAAGATGTCCAAGTGGACCAGCATAGATCTCTTCTCCACCACGCTTCATAAGGAAAAGCTGCACGCATTGATCAAACATTTTAGACTTTGCAAGTTGCAACATAGTTCAAGGTTTGGAAAACCAGCCACATCAAAACAAGTATGACCAAACGCTGACCAGAAAGTAGAGGGTAGTTGGAAGTAAATCCTATGTGAAATCTCACTCACCTCATCAAATGCTTCAAATATGTCAATGCTAGGCTGATGTATCGTGCAGACCACAGTTCTACCAGTATCAACAGTGTTCCTCACCGTCCGCATCACAATTGCAGCTGCTCGGGCATCAAGCCCTGAGGTTGGCTCATCCATAAAGATGATTGATGGATTTGCAACAAGTTCCACAGCAATGGTAAGCCTTTTCCTCTGCTCAGTTGACAGACCATTCACTCCAGGAAGTCCAACCAAAGCATTTCTCAGTGGTTTGAGCTCCACAAGCTCCATCACCTCCTCAATGAAGATCTGCACATATAATGGTGAGCAACTATCTACCAACTGTATCCTTCTATGGGTGGAAATTGCAACTATTTTGTGGAACTAACCTTTCTTTTGTTCGAATCGATGTCCTTGGGAAGCCGGAGCCATGCTGAGAAAAGCAGGGACTCATAGACTGTCACCTGCGGTGAGTGGATATCATTTTGTTCACAGTATCCTGATACACGTGCAAAGGTCTCTTGTTTCTTTGGGTATCCTGAAATGCGGATGTCTCCTTCAATGTACCCACCTGTCTTTCTCCCAGCTAACACATCCATCAAAGTAGTTTTTCCTGCACCGCTGACGCCCATCAGTGCGGTCAGCACACCAGGCCTAAAAGACCCACTGACACCTTTGAGGAGCTCCAAACGATCTTCTTGTACACCTTGTGCTTTCATTTCCTGAATTTAATTTCATGACCAGGGTTACAAAATAGTGATGAAATTACATTTGTTGTGTAAGAGATCAACTTTCTATATTTCACCTGTGGCATGTCAACAGAGTATTTGATGTTGTCGAAGCTGAGCGAGAGCGGGTCAAACGGGAGGATCATTCCCTTTTTAGTCGAGGCAGAATCATCTTCCATGATTGCTGAATCAGTTTCAGTGTTGACTCCTGTTGATCGATGACTGCTTGCTGATACCAAGTGATTGCCATCCAGAATCTCCCTTTTGATGTTGGCATGCTTCTCCTGCAGCTCCTCTTCGGATACAGATGGCCGGGAGTTGCCATATGCTGGAAATTAACAAGATGGAATCATTCGCACTTCACAGGTTCGAATACTTTGAAATCAGAGAACAATTAGAAAATCAATTTGGGAGTTACTCACGCTTAAGGTATGTAAGGGCAAGAGTGAAGAGAGCGTTGAAGAGTAGGGTGAACCCAACCAGAGCACCAAAGCCAATCCAGTACCACTTTGCTTCTGTGAATACTCCACGGGACTTAAGGCTTTGCACACCTAGGGTCTCGTTGGAGGCAGTGCTATTCAATATTTTGTCCCAGCTGTGACCCAACATCTCATTCACTGAAATGGCATTCTGTGCATACATCAGTGGGGAGATCCAGTAGCCCCAGATCCACCATTTCTTAATTTTATCTGCAAGACGAAATACAGACAAGCATTGATGTAAGAAGCTACGCTGCAATGAATTAGAAAGAGAGAGAAAAATGACTTCTAACCTCTTACTAGAATAAATCCTCCCAACACCATGACAACCAGCAACATGAACGATGCGAAGACATTAGCAACAATCATGTTCCTCGATGCCCCACCAATAAACCGGAAGAGTGCTGCTGCCATCTGATTGACTACTAACAGAAGCAGATACTGCTTGAAGAACCTGCGGGCAACTATTACTGTTAGAACATTCATAGTACATTACCAGCGTAATAAGAATGGCTAAGGAGAAACATTTAAACAATCGGAAAATCTCACCTGCCGACATTTGGGTCGAACCCAACAACATAGTATGTCAAGAATACATAACAGCCAACCTCGATAAATGTGATGGGTATCTTGAGGATCCATGAGGGTATAGTGTAGGACCATGCTGGAAAGAAAAGGAGATCCCTCTGCTTGAAGAATACAGGCAGCTTGAAGACAGTTAACGCCAGCTCAGAGAAGCCATTGAACATGATCGAGAGCACTCCAAAGAAGACTGCACCCAGGTAGAGACCGCCGTCAGTCACTGTGTCATGCTTCATCTTCGTACGGAAGAAGATAGTCATTACAATGATTGACATCAGCACCACCTGTAATTCCAGAGCACCAAAGAGTTAGTCATTTTTTAGTTATTTTTTCCTTACATGCAAATCGATCATACTGGTTGGACTTGTGAGTTACCATGAAGGTTCTGAATATGTAGACAAAAGAGTTCCTCTTCATGAGAAGGATCTCCCGGTCTATGTTTGCTTTGAGCAGCTCCTTGCCACTCACGCCGTACCTCGTGGTGGTTAGTGCGGCTGGGTGGCTTTTGCTCTTGTCGAACGGAACAGCAAGCTCATTTGCTATAGCTCTCCCCGTGTGGAATGACTTAAATGCAGTCGCAAATTCCTTCACAGACACAAACCTGTAGGGCACATCAAGCCACCAGTACTGTTTCTGATCTTTTTTCGAAGTCACCTGCCCAGCATTTCAAAGAGATAAGATAACAAGAACTTTATGCACTTATGTATACTGAGATATGGTGGCACAGTACATACTTCTTGCAGGAAGTCAGCGACACCCTTCCTCTCAGGGCATCTGAAACCAACTGACTCAAAAAACTCAAGCACTTCTTCTCGGGGGCCCTGGTAGACAACCTGACCATCTGAGAGGAGTATGATGTCATCGAACAAGTTATAAGTCTCAGGTGCCGGCTGCAGTAGGGAGATAACAGCTGTGCCACCGAGGATGTGAATGGACTGCCTGAGTGAATTCACAATTTGGAATGTAGTGGAACTATCAAGCCCAGTTGAGATCTCGTCCATGAAAAGTGCCCTGGATGGCCCAACCAGCATCTCACCTGCAGGAAACATCCAAATGATATAATTCAGAAAGGACTTCAGCAAAGCCAATGTTGTTGACCAAACATGGTTATGAAAGACAGTTTTACCAGTTGTAACACGCTTCCGTTGTCCACCAGATATGCCCCTGAGCATCTCATCCCCTACCATTGTGTCTGCACATATCTCTAGTCCTAATATCTGCAGCAAGTGGAGTGTACATAGTTAAGACATATTTGAGTAAGTCAATCTAAAATTGCTCGATTTGAGGCTAAAAGTTGCAATGTATTACCTTCAGAATATAGTCAGTGACCACATTGGCATCTTGCCCACCCATTGCAGACGCCTAATTAAATTAAACAGGAAAACCATACTCAGTTTTGATTATGATTGGCCAATTATTCAAAGAAACATCATCTACGATTAAAAAATCCTACTGGATTTAGTCAGGATCACATGCCTTCATGAATGCATCAATATCAGCATCAGGCTTGATATTGGCCGCCTTCTCTCGCCTCGACAGCTCAGTCAACATGTCTAACAACATAAAGGAAAGAAGCAAGATCCAATAAGCATATCAATGAAAAGGGTAAATCCTACATGGTAAGCAAGCAGAACAAATGCATATGCATGTATCGCGTGACTAAAATTGCTCAGAACTGTACCAAAACGGGAGCCGACACCCTGGCAGCGTGCAGAGAATGCAAGCGTCTCCCTCACAGTCATCTCTCCTATGTGGAGGTCATGCTGGCTGATGTACGCTGCCGTCCTCTCTGGAACAAACTCTGTCATGTCGTGACCATTATAGGTCACTTTGCCTGAAAACTGCACCGTGTTTCACCATAACATTAGGCACTGGACATTTCATTAGAGTAGTTCGTACAAAGCATGCAGCAGTTGCCTATGAACGATGCCCTGTTTCTTTGAATGCCCAGTTTTGTGCAGAAGTTCGCAACAAACTAAAATAGATGTCGACGAAATGCAATGAACGAGATAATGCAGACTGTTTTTTGCGAGGTGTAATTATTGCAAAGAAGTACAAGGACACATTTTGTACTACCTTGAGGTCTTTGTCAAGCCTTCCGGCCAAGGCCAGCAACAAAGTGGTCTTGCCTGATCCAGGCGGACCTAACAGAAGTGTCAACCTGCATAAACGTAAAGAACGTGAGGTTGACTGGTCGAAGAAGCCAAGAAATCGAATCCTAACTCTCTATCTCTCTCTTAGGAGATTAATTACTAATCGATTCACCAACACAAGCCAAACTAACAGGAATATAGAATTACTCTAGTTTTCAAAAAAAAAAAAAACAACTCATCGACTCTGTAGATGGAAAATAGTTTGACTTTCTTGAGGACAAAAACAAAAACAATAAAAGATCGATTGTTTTACTCAACTACCTGCGAGGCTTGATGATTCCGCTGACGTCGTGGAGAATGGGCATGATCTGCTTCCTACTGGGCAGTATGTGCAGCGCGTTCGCCGCTTCCTGCGTCGAACAAAGAGGCACACCGACCAAAGTTCAAAATCGATCGTCTTTCGCTATCGGAACTAACGGGTGGAATGGCGCGCGTACCTCGACCGTGTTGACGATGGAGTTGAGGACGGTGGGGAGGCCGCTGCTGCCGACGCGCACCTCAGCCTCCGCCTCAAGGTTCTGGAACCGCACCTCGATCGTTGGCATGTCGATCCCGACTCTGCAGGAATCAAACACGCGCGCGCGCGCGGAAATCGTCAGACACCCGGCGAGCGGTCCTTGATCCTTGAGCGGGCGAGAAGGTACCTGTCGACGCGGTCCTTGAGCTTGAGCAGGAACCGCTCGTTGTCCTCGTCGGCGACGCGGACGAGGCGCTCCAGCAGCGCCAGCCTCTCGCGCGGGCCGAGGCTGAGCACGTCGACGTCCACGAGCCCCTTCCGCCGGCCGCCTCGGCGCCGTCGGCCCCGAGGTCGAGCGGGACGATGGCGCGGCGGACGCGGTCGTAGGTGGGCAACTTCTCCAGCGCGGCCCAGCGGAGCGCCTCCTCGTCGTCCTCCTCCCTGGACGAGCGCGAGAACACGTCGTCACCGCGCCGCCACATGGAGCCGCTGCCCCCCGCATACTCGCCACCTTCTGAATGACCCCGTCACGTCCATCTCGCTATCCCTCCAACTCCCCCCACCCCTGCTGCTGCCGCCGCCGCCGCCGCCTCCTCCCTACCAATCCGCACCCCGCACCACAACGCCGAGCTGCCACCGGGGTTACCAATGAGATTCCGGTGTTTTGGGGTGCGTGCGTGCTGCTGCCCCGCTTAAGGGCTTAGGCGGAGCAGCGTGGGGTTTTGTAGGGGTGACGCGTTGGGACGGGACGGGACGGGACGAGACGGGGAAGGGAAGGGGCTAACCGGCTAACTCGCGGTCGTGGCACGTGAGTCGTGACAGGCACAGGCGCCAGACGGTCAGAGCCGCGCCGCCCGGGAGGCCGCTTTGCTTCCTCCCGCAGTTGCCCATTGACCTCGGGCCCCCTGGGCCTGGCGCGAGTCGCTGCACTGCTGGACCGGGCTGGGCCGCTTGTCGTTGTCGCTTCTAGAAGGTCACCTGTTTTCGTGGGAATGGGGAGGAATCGCTAATTGAGAGATTTAAATTTAATTATAAAAGTGGCCTTCCTTCTAGAGGGACCCGCGCACGTTAACGGTGACGACAGTAACCTACTGCGTGATCCTGTGCGGCAGCGTCGACGCCAACTCGCCAAGAGTTCTGCAGCCAACCATTCTTCCTGTTCCACTTTCGGGGCAGCGCCGAATTTTCGGTTGAAATGGATTCGTCGGGCGGAAGGAAAGCTCCTTCCGCTCCCTAACCATCAAGGTTGAAATCTAGTTATTCTAGTCCCTCAACTATCGTCTAAATTTTTAACATGGCCGTTTTAGTTTTCAAATTTTACTTTTGAACCCAGCTCCGTCTCATATGACTATCAAAGTGACCATTTTAGTCATTAACTTTGCAATTTGAGCTCAATTTTCAATTTTTATTTATGAACTATCAAAGTGTATTTCAGTCAACAAACTTTTCTTTTCGGTCAAACTTTATGCCCTCCTTCTGCGTGGAACACCACACTATCACGCCTACTCAGCTCTAGTATATGATAGGAGATAAAATAATAATATTAGGACAAAAACATCATAGTGGACAGTCTAAATACTCTTTCAAATTTATTTTTGAGCCGTTTCACCTCATGACTATCAAAGTGATCATTTTATTGCTTAAACTTTGCAATTTGGGCTCCATATGAATTTTCATTTTTTTGTGAATCACTATGAATTTTCATTTATGAACTATCAAAGTGTTTTCAGTCCTCATACTTTTCTTTTCTAGTCCAACTTCTTCCCTCATTCTACATGGAACACCACACTATCACGCCTATTCAGGTCTAGCACCGCTTGTGGTAGAAGATAAAAATAATAATATTAGGTCAAAAACATCATTAGTTGGTCGTTTAAATACTCTTTAGAAGCTATTAATAGCTCTAATGCACTATTGATGGTATAAATAACTACATTGCTTTTGTGGAAGCAAAATTACCTTAAGAACACTTTGATGAATTAGAACAACCATTGATCTAAATTTTTTTCTTAAATAATTACCAATTGTGAATAAAAATAGTATGCTTTTGTGCGTAAGCTCAAAAATAATATTTAATTATTGAATGAAAAAATATATGATATCCAAATTGGATGCGGATCTTGAACAATCCATTATTCGTAATCCAGGATATTCCATTCTATATTTATATTTATTTTAAAATATGGATATAAATGCCAAAAGTGTGTTATTCGACTCAACAACTCAGGGCGATGCCAAGGACAATGGTACCTAACGATGACCATCCATCTTGAATTGCAGGTGGTCTGACCAAGTGTGGGCATCGCGACATTCCACATAGGACAAAGTTCATCCAAAAAGAAAGGTTTGAGAATTAAAATGCCCTTAGCAGTTTATGGATAAAATTGAGCCCATAACACAAAGCTTATGACTAAAACGGTCACTTTGATAGTTCTAGGATAAATTTGAGCCTAAAAGAAAATTTTGAATACTGAAATGATTCTTTCTAAAGTTTAGGGACGAGATTAAGCCTTACATGATAATTGAGAGACCAAAATAACTATTCGGCCAAACCTATGCAATGATGACGGCAACGACGACGATGTTGGCATCTGTTATACGCTTATCAACGTAGGTCATTTTAGACTTGTCCACAGAGATCAAATGTGTGTTTGTTTACTATGTATACTAGAAAACAAAATGGTCTATTCATTTGTCAGAGTATAACGTGGACAAGAAATTTGAAGAAAAAATGTGAAAGATGTATAGAAATCATAAAACAAACCTATATTTGAAACAATAACTTACATTTGGTGATTTGGAATCAAATGAGTATAAAGGTTATGAGCTCATAACTTCCTTGTAGCGAAGGAAGATTTATGCACCATTTTAGTCCCCCTCCTCCTCCCCCCTCCAAAAAAAAAAAAAAAAAAGATTCGGGACAAGTTAATTCTTTTTTTAACTTCGACCAAATTTATGAAAAACAGTATCGATTTTATTAACTGAAGTGTTAATTTAGGTTTTATTGGGTTTCAATTCATCCGCCAAGCCATGGTTCAACGTTGAAGCGTAGCTTGATGTCATTGGCTACTTTTAATTTGAAGGCTACATAAACCAGCAACGTTTTTTTTTCCCACGGGAATATACACATATTTGGCAGCGAGATTTCCTGTGGAACTCCATTTGAGCTGATCGAATCTCCAATTGGAGCGACAATCAAATCCTAGGCTTTGCAACGGATAAGCTATCTTATTATGCACCCACACAAGACAAAGTTTTTTTTTTTTGAGGGAACCACACAAGACAAAGTTGGGGGGAAAAAAGGCACTCAAATCACAATCAGCCCAATATCGTCCCCACGCTGATCGTCTCAGGTTCCTTGTTCTTTTCAAACGAATGGGGTGGCCCCGGCCTTCCTTGAGAGCAGACAAGAGACGATAAGTCTCGCAGAAGGAGCGGATCGGAGTCGGAGGCAGCGAAAAGCTAAAGGCGGGACCCGTCTCAACATCCTTTCTGTCCATGTGCCAAGACAAGCAACAGGACAGGAGTAGAACGCAGAGCAGATCCTATCAAGAAACGATGCCAAGCAGAGGCAAAGTGAGAAAGGGCCATTATAGTCCACATGCAGCCGAACTCCCCCAAAATAAAACACTACACTAAAGTCCACCCTGTTGCGTTGCCGTACCCGTTGTCGTTGCCGCATTTGGCCGGCACGGGTCTCGCTTCCGATGCGTGCTCGGCTGCTCGCTCTTTCCCGGGCACGCATGGGCCGACGGCTGGACTGGAGCGCCACCTACTGCCTACTGTACATACGTTTGCTGGGCAGGCGTAAAGCGATCGAATGCGAACTCCCCTCGCTCGTTCGTTGCTTGTCGAGACGCCACCATCCAAAGTCCCGAGCTCCGTGACGAGTCCGCTGGCACACACAGTTGCGTCCACGGAACCAACGCTGCCGCTGGTACCG